AAATACTGCAGTGTAAATGCCACTAATGCCATTCTACAAAATGAGTGCTGATACAATCTTAAAGATTCCATTCAAATCTATTCAAAAATCTTTGAAATCTGGCGGAAGTAATATGCTCCGAACTCATGTGTGAATGCAGCTGTAACATTTTCGAAAATTATGAATACTTAGGACAAGCGACAAGCTCCTTAAAAATCTTCTAACAGTCGGCTATAATCTCTTCCAGGAAACGATGCAGGAGTTACGATTCTATCCTCTACAGTAAAAACAATATTTTTCATCCAGTACAGTAGAATTCTTTCAAATAGTGAACAATAAAAATCGGTCCACTATGATTTAACTAACGTAAGCAGATGGACAATTATTTGCTGAAAAGTGATGTTAAACACAAGCAAGAAGTTCAAACCGGTGATCCCTGAACCACTGCCTACCTGATGTAGTAAACATAGGGGAATGTAGCAGTGGCGCAAGCACACAGTTGTTGCAGTTACATTATATTTAATTGCAGTTACATTATATTTACATGTAAGTACTGTCAGTCGTCAAATCATTTGCTTATTCTATCTATTGTTGATTTTTGCTGATAAAACAGAGCTAATTTAGAATAAAGAAGTGCAAATCTAATTTGTATAATGTAAAAAATTGTTCATATTCCAAATGCGTGTTAAAAAAGTAAATTATAGTAGATCAATCAAATTTGCATAATATAAAACATAGCATATAAATCCACTTAATCAGAGCAACAGAACCCGGTGGTCGTACAGTAATGTATTTGACTTTTCAAACGAACAATCCAATATTTGATTGTCAAGTGACCGAAACGATAATATTCAAGGTATAAAATTAGCAGTGGATAAAATAATTCAAATTATGCATATATATCCTAGCATCCACTAATTCTTTCCGAAAAAAATCTCCGATGCTGCGCACAGTGTTGAAAAATTAGCATATTCCTATTTGCCTTGCCATGTGTATTTTTGGTGTAATACATTAACTTGCGATGTCAACATATTCACAGCAACAGCTTTACGAGAGAAGTTGATGGTTCACCTAAAGCTTTTCGAAAGAGGTATCTATTTATGAAATCCCAAAATCTCTCCGCCTGAAATAGAAAAAAGAAACACCAGTATCGAAAATCACAGGACTAAGGAACAATATAAAACTATAGATAAGCTGAATTTGTAAATGGAAGTTGTATGCTTTCTTATCAAACGTGGCATCTTTTCTGGGATGGTGATCTTTTCGACAGTAACAATTAGGGGAATTAGGTTTCTTACATGTAAAAGGATATTTATGTTTTTTTCTAATATAATTATGAACAGTGTATTACATATGCAGAAAAATAAGGTCCGGGAGGATAATCATGTTTTTTTACAGAAACGAAGTAAAGTTAAACAAGTAAATGGCACTGACGATGGTGTTATCATGAGGGTGAACTAATTCCCAAAAACCTAACAATAGCAAACATAAAGATAATATCTCGCAAGTTATGCAAACGTGCTTTGAAATTGACATAAATCTAAAAATAAACGTTCCAAAAAACATTCTAAATTGTAATAATGAGAAAGTCTTTAGCAGTCAGTAAGTTTCTATCTCATATCTTTTAAACCATATTAGTCAAATTATTTATTGCTTTCGAAACATTGCAAACGATATATTGTGTAATACCGCAGTCCTTTGTCCCCCACATTGCCAAGCTTCTTGTTATTATAGAAATGATGGCAATAAATATTGGAACCAGAATTGGTCACATTTCTTGAACACTCTGGGGAACCCGCAAGTTCACTGGTTTTGCTTACGATAGTAACAGAAGACTTAAAAACAGCCTTGTATGTTGTAAATGTCTTATTCATTAAATCTAACGTTTCTATTTGATACTATAAACCCAAAGACGTTGACGGTCATAGCTCAGAATCGTAACAAACCGATAGCAGAGAATCACACGGGCCGACACACTAGATAAGAGAGCTCACCAATTATATCAAATTCATTAGTCTTCTCTAGACCTGCGTAAATGAAATTTCCCAGTATTGATTTTAATACAGCATAATACAGCAGTTTTAGCATGAAATCATATTTTTATATATAATAAGAAATTTAACTGTAACCGAAGTTAGCACCCAGCTCTGTCGATATCTTGAACCTCTAGCATGCAACCAGTCCTACTTCAACAAGCATTTCAATAATACTATAAAACTATTGAAAATAACATGAGTGGCGTTCAAATGATTTACTTGATAATCACTCCAAGACAAGGAATGCGGAAAGCAAGCTTTTATAGTAACTGGTAACAATTCGGCGATTTCCGGATCGTCATCTTGGGTAAAATGGAACTGCAAAGCATGCGTTTTCTTTGCAATATAATTGACACCCATATCCTGAAATTTTTAACGGCACTTCCTTGGTTGCTTGACTCAACTATTATTCTTGATATTATGGTTCTGTTTCTAACTCCTAATATTCAATTTACGTCCCCATCAGGAGCTTTTTTTTCCTTTTTTTTAGTAATGCTACATTCTAAACAAATTTACGAGATATTATTTCCCTCTTTCAACGAATTTTTCATATTTGGTGACTTCCCCTTGATGTTTTGTCATAAAACGACTTGTAACTAGAACGACTTTGCTTATATTTATTGAAAATTTGAATTGAAATCAATAAATATAACACCAAACGGACTAAACGAAATCTATAAACCTTGCCGCATTTATGACATTCAGTATTTAGCTTCAGCGTTGTAACCTATGAAACAGAAATATTCTAAAAACAAATTTTCATGTAATTATAATTAGGGGTAGTAAAATTAAATAAAACATTTGCTACAAAATGCTACGCCCTTTGTTTCTTTTTAAAAACAACTCTAGAGAATAGCACAGCGCATCTATTACAATGATTAAATTTTCTAATGTTTGAATCCGATCGAAATGCTGATATAACCAATGAATAGATAACGATGGTTACAAAAAAGTAGCTCAGAAAAAGGAACAGTAAAAATAGAAGATACCTCTCGCTTTTTAGGATCAAAAGTATTCCCATTAGATTCACCGACTTCTCCCTCAATCAAAACAATATTATTAACTGCATTATTATTTAGAAGCTTGTCAGAACTGATGGTTTCAGTGTTTGCCAACGTGTCAGAGAATAATCCCAAGGCACAAAATGTTTGATCATCAGATTCTGATAATTTACACGGTTTACTATCATCATCAGCAGCCTTCGAAAGAATTTCGGTGATATGAATTCCGGATTCAAGTTTTTCTTCAATATCTGAATTTATCGAAATTGATATTTTCTTTTCCTAAATAGATTTTCCCCACTGCAATTTTAAACAACTTACTTGAACATTTTGTTGAATTCGTCGTGATTCTACGACCCTTTTGGTTTTCCCGTTTCGTTTGAAAATTCACTTCATGCTTCAGTAAGTTAGACAAACAGAAACAAACATGTCTTTCGTCTTCTTCTTAGATTTTTTAGGGATTTCTATCTTCCGAATATCTGAACATGAATTCCAATTCCTCCTTCTCTTTGTTTGCCTGAATGCTTCAGAAAATTTGACCCTAATAAAACTGTTTGCAAGAAAGTCACATTTATGGATTTAGCTAAGAAGCTTGAAATGCCAACAGAAGTACCATTCAAGAAAAAAACAGATACCAACAGACAGTAAACTTCTGATGTTCACCTTGAGATATCGTTTTCTTGCTTTCTTGTCCCATGTCGAATAGCAGCCTTCTCTTCTCACGACAGCAGTCTTGAAAGACCTTAACTGCCAAATGTTCCTGGTAGTTAGCACTATCGAACTGAAAATTAGCAATTTTAATTTAATCCTTCACGAGGTATAAACTGACATACAGAAATAGGTGAGAAAGTCAGAGTATGAGTCATATTACAAAAAATCCATAATTTTTTCTTAAAATTGTTGAGGGTAATATCATTAATATTGTATCTTTCGCATGAAAATTGACAAAAGCAAAGTTAATCTTCACACGATGATTTTTTTGAAAGAATGTAAGGTGCTGCTTTCTTTATCATTAAATTTAAACGTACACTTCATGCATTTATAGCGATGATAATTGAGATGCTTTTGTTGGATATGTGACAAAAAACATTTGAATGGCTTGCTGACATTGCATAACAAACAGTGAATGTATCTGAAAAAAAAGGATTTCCCGACCAAAATGCTATCGGAACCATCACACCGTGACAAAAACCAACAACTTATGTTAAATACCATATAGTACCACTAAACTCACTTCTTCAAATTGATCATTCTCAGCTGCCATATAACCTTTTCAAACAATATAAGAACATTCTATAATTGTGTATAACCAATCACTAAAATGAATGAAATACATACATATGAGCAGGCCCTCCCATTTCTTACCTTCCTCTCGAACTGCTTTCCGAATGTCCAATAATTGATCGAGGTGAGGAAATGTCGCGAGATTGAAACGCGAAATTTGATAAACCTGCAATACCAAGAACGACAAGCTTCTATTTAATCCTCCACCTATTTACCATCATCAATGTTATTTGAAATGCAAGCACTTACGGACCGCTTCATTTTAAACTTATGAAATAAAGTAGTCTCAAGGAGAATCTGATACTTTCTCAAATATTCCTTCTGCTAGTGTGTCATTTAGCTGTCATATTAAGCCATTTTTAAAGTCTTCAAAAAAGGCGTTTTTCGAAATCTTTGACTTACAATTTTAATATAGATAACTCCAGATCATCCCAACTAATAACTCTTTGTTTATTTCGAGGTTTTCGAAAATTTTTTTGCATATTTATAAAACCTTTAACTTAAGATGAAATAATTTAAATTTCGAAATTCAATATTAGAGGCATTCGAATGAACTTAATTACTTCTGCCTTTTAACGAATTTTAAGAGCTCATACTCAGCAAGAATAATTGTAAAATTTTAAAGATTCAATGTATTTTTTAGTTTCATAACTAAAAAAATACATTGAATTATTAAAATCCACTGTTTGTAAGTAGAGACATGTCTTTTAGTCCTTTGATTCATTTTGGAGTTTTTTATTTACAATAAAGATATTATTTGGTATATCTTTTTTTTCTTTTTTGATAAATTTTTTTTGCCTTACAACAAGTGACCAATAAAAAAACCTCAAAATTAATTTCGGGACCAGAGTCTTGAAGATCGCGTCTGCTTCGCGTCTTGTAGTCCCTCTCCCCCCTCCCCTCCCCTCCCCTCCTCTTCTCTTTGTCTTTGTCTTTTTTCTCCGGAGAAGGAGAGAAGAGCCAATCTGGACAAGAGCCCTACTCCCAAATATTCATAGTACTGTCTTCATTTTGCATAATTTGCCCCATGTCGCTCATTCTAAGAGTTGATTTCAAAGCAAAAATGGTTCGGTATTGTATTTGTGATAGCCAGACCTGATGCTCTCCATCTGCTATCTTTCAATGCGGAATCTTATTTCAACATACTATCTGTAATACCTGCAGATACCTCCTACAGATATTCCAGCATGCCTGCAGATTCCTCTATGCCCCGCAATATTCTGGTATGCCCTACAAATACTGCGGTATATTCCGAAGAAGTTTATTCGACGACATCAGTGGTATGAAAGATTATAATCATCACTGATTAATGCATATTTAAAATTCCATTTGTTTCAATTTTTTCCCCCTTCTTTTTCAATTTTCTATAATAATGGTTTGCATATTTTAACAGACTGCCTTATTTTTTCAATATATGTGAGATAGACTTAACTTGTAGTACACATTGTTAAAATTTTTTAAAAATATTTACTTCGCCATTTGAAACTTGACTTACGTTAAGTGTTGAATGAATTGATTATCGTGTTTGGCCGTGTTTGGCCTAGGTTAGCTATCATCGTATCGGTAAGAGTATACAAACCTGACTGTAAAATGTAATATCAACTCAATTACCAATTTTCTGTTCTTTTTTTTGGATTTCTCAAACAGTGAACTCGCCCTTTCATTTCCTAATCAAACCATTCAATTTCAAGGCCATAGACATCCATTAAGGTAGGAGTTGCATCTTCGCATTACAGAAGGAAAGTCGTCAGGGAAAGTTTCCGGTTGTATTAAATAGTAATCATATATTTGGTCGTTTGGTTAAATAATGAATTGCTATTTTTGCGATTGGATGAGCGAGTTATGCAGTATTTTTATAAGCCTAGAATATAAAGGCCTTGTTCTGGACAAAAGCGAGATTGTCACTGTCACACCAATGCGTTTAAGGATCTCTACAGCTCTGTTACTAAACATCAACGATGAATAAGGACGGGGTTGTTGCATTCGTTCCCACTGGAATTGGATAAGTGGCCTCTTAAGGAGTTATCACCAAATGTTTTCCCTCATTCCCACATTTCTAGCTTTCCACTTATTTCGACATTTTGTATCTCTATCTCTATGTAATATTGGCGATCGACTTGCGCCACGTATGTACATATCACTTCGTCATATTCATCTTCTGAGCAGTGTCCTCGATATAATCAACAGCTGATTAATTTTCCCCTTCTTTCAATAATTTTCGCTCATGCCCAAACAAAATCCTAATCAAAAGAAGAGGGAAAAGTGGCAAAAGATTTTCATGACAGAAATTATAAATTTTTGAAATCATTCTTTTCACGACATCCGATCATCTTGTTTGAAAGATGAGATGTCTGTTGGGGTATATCAATAGAAATATCCGCTCTAATACCTCTTATACACGGTAGGACATTTGTCATATCGGATTTGCTGTAAAAAGTGTTCTTATCTGCTGATGGCGTCTTCTTCTGTGCCCCCTTTTCTCTTTCAGTCAGCGAAGAAGCGATTCACCACCAACTTCCCATAGGGTATTTAGAAGTGGTAAGAGAATAATTTATCATTCAGATTGGATGGATTTCAAAGTTCTACTACTTTCCAGTTTTCATTAGTATGAATGGCTTCAAATTCTGAAAACACTTTACCCCTCTTTTATTCAGCTCTCAACTACTCCCAATTTATTCCTGATCTTTTCCTTGCTCCACATTGTTACGGAACAGTCACTTGCCCTTTACTTTTTTCCTTATTTTACAACCATCTAAGTTAAGTGAAAAAAAAAAGGGAAACAAGAAGAGTAGAATAACCAAAAATGTAAAGCTTGATGAGAGATTTAACCTCGAGCGCTAGTTGCAATACTAGAACAATGGTGGCCTATCAGATAGTGTGAAGACATAGTTGAGATATGCTCCACAGACGGAAAATTCGGACACAGTTTCCATTGCTTCTGGACAAAACACAAATCAAATTGAATATTTACTAGATACTTCACAGAACTTTAAATTGAGCCAAGAACCGTTATCTAATCCAGAGCAGATAATACGAACTACCCAGAGATGATTTGAACACAGGAAGTTTCTTTCAGAAAAATCATGTTCGGTTGTATTTGAAATCAGTCGCATGCATAGTAGGAGATGAGTTCGGCTGGATGATCGAATACTGCCAGCCAGCAATCCTGGAAGCGCGGTTACCGTTTATTAGTGAAATCCAGTTAGTGATCGGAACTGAAAGCATATTTTCTATCATACGGTATCTTTTCCTTACGTTTTGTTTACCAGTGCCGTCCGTTTCGCTCGGTGATATGAGCTGTCCATTCTTTTTCAGTATTTTCATCAAACTTCAAACGAGTCGTATGAATGGCACAGTAATAGCAAACAGTTTGGATGAAGTGATACGACGACTCTTTTCAATTAATATCTCTAGTAAAGTGAAATTCTCTTACTTCGATCCTTAACTGCTGAATAGACCTAGAAAATTCTGGCATGCGGATGAATACAAACTACATAACGGCAGCAACTGCTGTATCTCTGTTATGGATATTCATTATGATGGCATATCTGGGATTACTAGATGAACCGAGAGCACGAGTCATTTCCTTACGTCAACAATATCATGCATCAGTTCATCCAACTCTTGATGGTCATTCAGAGATGATTATACTACCTATAACTCTTAACAGTAATGAGAACAATAATGATATATCGAAAGAAATGCAGGAGGAGCAGTTTTCACTAAATAAAATACCGGAAGTTGATCTTGAAAAGCTGTCTATCATACAAAATCAACAGGAACAGGTAATTCCATTGCATTTCTCCATTGTACGATTTGCTGATTATTTTGTGTCGTTTGTCATCTCAGCGATGGCGCGATTCAGCGCCACGATGTTAGCCAACAAAACGCTTACTCTTCCTGTCTGTTTCAGTTAATATTACTTAGGCATAATCTGTCAGCATGTTTTTTTAAATTGTCCTTTAAGTTTCTGATTAATACTGATGCCATGTATCGGTATTAACGAGCACTTTGCTTGCTCGCAGCTGGTTATGTGGAACAGTTCTGTGCTTTTTTTCATGATTTATATTTTCACTTTTTCTTGAAATTGTTCGGCTTAAGTAAATATTGCATATCATTTGAGCGAATTTTGCATCAATTTCGCGAAACTTTTAGAAACAACGTGAAATAAGTTACGCCAAATATGCATTCAATGAATTTCTGAGCAGTAGGATTGGACCACAGCGAAAGATCCCAGATACACGCCATTACTTGTGAGTATTGATTTGCATAAAATTTGGTGAATGAGTGTGGGCTCGGGAACTGGCTTCGATTCATGTTTCCATCATTTTTGATAAATTAAATTTGGTACTATTTTGGGATGTTCGGATTATTGTGACTATTGTGGTATATGTGCTCATTTTTGAAGTCCATTTATTTAAAGAACTGATTTAAATTTTTGGGCATCTACTACTGCATATTTCAGATGTCTAAATGAAAGCTATTCGGAAGAATTGCCTGCAGCAAGTATTGTCATTTGTTATTATAATGAAGCTTCATCAGTTCTGATTCGCATGGTTAATAGTATTCTGGATAAAACGCCATCAAATTTGATTAATGAAATATTACTGGTGAATGACCACAGCGATCTCGGTTTGTTCAAGTTTAATGAACCGGAGAAAAAAAATAGACCATAGTTTGCTAGATTTCAAGAGATATTATTACATACATAATCAAGGATGTCGAGATTGATCTTGAATTTGGGCGTATATACGTGACTTTATATGAATAAGTAGTACATGAAACAAGGAATAAATCATGGATGTTTGGAGAGTAATAAGTGTGAGGATTTGGTAGAATTCTGTTTTTAGACAAATTGTCCTGAATTGTTCGATCAACTAATTATTCAGTCTCTTAAATAAATTTTTTTGCTGTTATAAAAACTGTCTTCAGACAATACATCTGATGCTGCGGTACGCGCATATGCTCATGAGAACTGGAACAGTGACGTGGTGAAAATGTTGAGTACGGAAAGGAATGAGGGATTGATTCGAGCAAAAATATTTGGAGCTCAGCATGCTAGAGGTGAAGTACTAGTGTTTTTAGATAGTCACTGCGAAGTAAATGAACGATGGCTCGAACCCCTGTTGGATCGAATCGTTACTGATAGGCATACGTTAGTTTTAGGATTCATTCGAAATATACAATAATCGAAGTGATTTCTATTTTATCATTATGATAAGCATAATTTAAGCACTAAGTATATTGTTTGGTCTATTTACTGTTTTTTTGACAAAACCACTGAAACTGTCCGCATTTCCTTCATTTCATCTCGTCGGAGTGACACAGATGGAAAGGCCAATGTGTACACCATTTATTTGACCCTTCTACTATTGCTCTTCCGATTTTGTTAACTCAAATTCTATTGTGTACCTGCATCCTAGACAACTATGTTATATTTTACGTTCCTTAGTCATTAGATAATGCAACGGAATCTTTGATCGCTTTGTAAGGTGAAATTACAGAAAAAGGTACAGAAAAAACAGAAATCTTAAAAATAAAAAATTTCTTTTCGAGTATTTTAGGGTTGTCTGTCCGATTATCGACATCATTGATGCAAATACTTTGAAGTATATCGAGTCGCCAATATGCAAAGGGGGCATGTCATGGTCACTTGCATTCAAATGGGATTACCTCCCATCATCGTACTTCGATGAACCCAAACAATATGTACGCCCGGTGAAATCACCAACAATGGCTGGTGGTTTATTCGCCATTGATAAGAAATATTTCGATAAGCTTGGACAGTATGATCGAGGGATGGAAATTTGGGGAGCAGAAAATGTAGAAATTTCTTTGAGGGTAAAAGTTATGTTACAATCTTCATCAAAATATTCACTGAACTGAACCTCAGGGATCTCGTGACCCTATTTGCGGGTATAATTGGAAGTTCATGGGTGACTGCTGAAATTTTCTGGAAATGGTAATTTAATGAATAAACACACTGTCTAGCAGCAGTGATCTTAATTAATTCGAATTTCATTCGATATTTTCGTTTGGACTCGCAGATTTGGATGTGTGGTGGCCGATTGGAAATTATTCCATGTAGCAGAATTGGTCATATATTTCGCCAACGGCGGCCATATGGATTTGGAATTGATTCAATGGGCCACAATGCAGCTCGTACTGCCAATATTTGGCTCGATGAATATATCGTACGTATTTTGTTACCTATCGAATAAATTCAAGATTTAATGCTTACATTACGGTTTAATATCGTTCATTTGTAGGTTTTATGATCACGTTATAGATTCTGTTCAGCTATAATGTTTATCTCTTTCAATAACAAATTAAAGTTGAAGGGCTTTCCATTATTTTTCATTATTCGTCACTTTCCCTTTTAGAGGTGACAAGATTTTAGTATATGGGATATTCTTGATCCGATATTCTTTTATAAATACAAAATGAAAACATACTTTATTTGCGTCACTGTCAAACTTATCAGATTTTTCGACAAGTGCATGTGATTTCCTTGACCGAGCTTGGCGCTTGTTCCATCACTATTTCTGAACGAAAAAAAAAACTTGCCGCATCTGCAAAACTAATGGATAATTTTTCAGGACCAATTTTATGCAGCTAGGCCAAATCTGAGAGGGATCGATATAGGGGATATAAAGGAAATGAAAGCATTACGCAAGAAACTGCACTGTAAATCGTTTTTTTGGTATCTCCAAAATATTTATCCAGAACTACTGACGAACAACCATCCGACAATGGTTGACCTAAAGAAATCTGATATGTTACGGAATAGAAATATCGCAAGATATCACGTGAGATTTAAGCACTGATAAAAGTAGGAACTAAGAGTTATGAGAATATCTTTGCGGATGAAGGAAAGTCATAAAAAAACTGATGCCCAAGACAGTCGTAGTGGAAATAGTCGTGACGTCGTAATGAAAAGTGACGGCCAGAAAAATCGCCACATTGAATATTAGTGAATATCAAGATCTACAATCGAGCAGTTCAGTGGAATTTATGGAAATTGATAAATGCATGATTGCTATCAATTCGCCAACTTTATATAGGGGGTAGAATAAGATTTCTAAAAGTTCTAAATTGAAATTTATTTTGTAGATAATCTTATACAACACGAGCTTATGTCTGACAGCTCAGTCAACGAATGGACGTTTGGTGAAGGGGAATAGCGTCGTGGTGGAGTATTGCCGCAATGGAAATCGTCATCAGAATTGGCGCTGGACAAAACTTGGCGAACTTCGCCCTATGGGTTCGGCAACGCTCTGTCTCGACTCGTTAAAGGTGGTGTCTTTCTTATCTTTTGCTCTAATCGAATATCCTTTCCTTTTGAGAAACTATCTATTCCCTACTGTTTTTCAAAAGGGAGCATATGGACTGATAGGCAGAAAATGACGATCTTCTGGGAAACGATGACTTTGTTCGAGTAATTCTGGTTGGAGTAATGCATTTCATTAGTAATATGAATCCGCAAAATTCAGATTCAGAGTGCCTGAAACACAAAGATATGCAACTATTAAGAGCTATTTTAATAATTACCCTGTAAAATTTCCAGGGACCGCGTATTCTAAAATGCCACCTACAGGGTGCTCATCAACAATGGTCGCTTATGGTAAGCAGTAATTTAAAGTCAACTTTGCTATTTTATAGGCACTAAAAAGAATTCTGAAAAAAAACGCTTCTACGTACAAAACATTCAGATCCAGAGTTCCTGAAACAATGTTAATGTTACAACGTTTCAGGGTCGTAAAATCTACAATGCAGCGGTTGGTCAGTGCCTACACAGCGGAAAGGAGTTGTCTAGCGTAGTTAAAAATCGTTTTTGTTCTGTTGCAAGTGAATGGGAATTTCGGGTTAGCCCACAAACTAAGTGACTTTGATCCTCTCTTTACTTATTTATCAGTTATACTGATGACCTCTGATATCCTTCCGTGCGAAACTGGCTATTACGACTAGCTCATCTCACATCCCTGTTAAAATGTTATTCTATAAAAAAATCTGTGTAGATGCCATTTTATAAAAAATTAAGTGAACGCAAAGTTTTATAAACAGGAACTCCTTTTAGAATATTCCTTCATATTCTTCTAAATGATATTCGGTACCAAAACCCATCTTTGAATTTTTTTTGACAGATCATCAATAAACACACTGAAAAACATACCCTTAACAATGAATGACAAATTTATGAAAAGCACTGGATTCGAACAAAAATAAAAACAAGAATTGTATACACCCATTTTTTCTTCTTTTTTTTTTATATTTGATACATTATAAAGAGCAGTGTCGTTTCTGCCTTTCTTTTCAGTGAAATGTTAAAAACTGCATGAGACAATCGTACATCTCATTTACGTTCTGAAAAAGGCAAAGACGAAACCATTTAATTTTTCTTTCAGTACATACAAAGTCGTATATTGTTCATAACTAAGTTCACAATATGCAGTTTATTATATTTAGAATTTCAGAAGACTCATGATCGAATATCAGTAAAAATCCGAACATCTCTAGAATCTTCGAAATTTGCAATGGGAAATTAGTGTAAACTGACATTTTGCATATGTGATGGCAAAAAAAACCATCATTTTTCTACAGATATTCCAGTATTGGCATGTTCAATGGCACGCTGTAAAAATGTACAATAATTATCGAAAGGCATGGGAATCAAATCCTTCATCGACCAAAAGTAAATTTGTTTTGTTTTAGTTGAAATTGTGGAATAGTCAGCATTTCCACTTTTTTGTGCACCGAGTCGAAACATATACGGTTTGAAAAGCACACTTTTGAATGACGATTGATACCGCTCACTGTCAAATTTCAGGAATTTAGCAACTTCATCCGCCTGTTCCCCTATCAATTTCTGTGCACAGTCATCAAATGCAGTTACATGAACAGTTCCCGTAAAATCAAATAGTTCCATCTGAAAAAAAGAACTGAGTGGAATCCCCATAACAGTTACTAGCTTTTGCTTGAAGGGTTTTGGTAATTCAAAGTCTAAGGGCGACCGAACTAGGAAAGAATTTTTATTCTCTTCCGCCGAACTTCCGAAAATTTTAAAGCAACTTAATACCACAGTAAGAAGGAATCGAACAATATTTTCAATTCCAACTTTGTGAATCTGAACCACCTGTAGCCATCAAAAATCAACATAATAAACTAATAATAGAACTAGTAATCACTATTGCAAATGGCGACAACAAGAATGGTAGTTGTAAGTAATTAATATCTACCAGAAATTTCAAGATATTCATCATCACCAAGCGAAATTACATCTAGAACCTCTCCTTTTAGTTCAGCACTTACATGTAAAGTGTAATAATATTTATACTCGTTGCATATACCACATTTTGAACATATGTACAGATCATTATCCTTTTCGACCAATAACTTTTTCTTACAAGTTGGACAACCCTGGAAAGTTCTATAACTTGAACTGTATTTCTCAATGAATTTCATTTAATCGTTTCAAGCTGCTGTCATCTCTGCTTGACCAAATACGCATACATTTCCTTTAAAAAAAGGCACCTTGTTCATTGCTCATCAGAGACCAAATTGTTGATTGAATTTCTTTGTAGAAAAAAAAGAAAATATAACCAGATGAACTGGTCATTTTAATCTTGAAATATCTGGATTTTCTTAG